ATTGTGAATTTACATTTGATGAAATTATCATGTGTTTTAATCTTGATAAATTACGTGTTTGTTTAAATTCTGCAGAAAAAGATGAAATGAGAACATTTGATAAAGCAAATTATGCATTTTTGATGATTGTTGATTATATAGATTGGATGTATCAATTTAAACGTAAAAATACAAATAACAATGATGGTGAAATTTATCTATTGGGAGAAAATTTTAATTCACTAAATAGTAATTCAGGTATTCCAGCTTTTTTTAGTAGTGGATATATTGAATATGCTTGGAGACCTGATATGAAAGATGGATCTACTTTTAACTCTTTATTATTAAGAATTACTGAATGTTGTGCAAAAAAGATGATATTGAACTATAATTTAATTTATTTTTATTTATATTTAGTAATATTATTTATTTATATTTTATTTGTTTAAAATTCTATAAATATAACAGGTTTTTTTTTTTGTTTAATAAATAAAATGATTTCAAGAAAATTTCTTAACAAAGTAGATACATGTGTTATTAAACATTGTGGTAGTGAAATAAAGTTAAATGCATGTCAATCTAGAAGAGATGATGGGGTTTCAGTTGATAAAATTGAATTTGGAATAGAATCAAAAGAAGTTGGTGACCAAAAAACATGATATACTATTATATCTCCATTAAAAAGACAATATGGATTCATTAGATTATTTTAACAAATAAATACTAATCAAAAAAAAATAGAGTTGCATGATATTTCTATTCATTTAAAATTTACTAGTTATCATAATAAAAGCAAACAAAGTAGAATTAGAATACCCTCAAGTATAGATTATGAAACTAATGAATTACAATATACAAATATAACTTTGGTGTTGGATACAATGATCTTAAAACTTTTTATTGTTGAAATATGTCTTAAAGATGCTGCAAAAGATAAAGATATAGCTATTGGTGATATTATTATTGATGCTGCTGATATAAATGATATACAATTTAGAGAATATATTAATCCAGTGTTAGTCACAGAAATCAAGATTCCTTGTGATGGGTGTGAATTTCAAGAACATGAAGCGATTTTATATTTAAATTTAAATAAGTTAAATGTTTGTAAGTTAGAAAATAATAAAAATGATACTATTTTATTTGATAAAGGAAATTATGCATTTGTTTTTTTTTTTTTTTTTTTTTTTTTTTTTTTTTTAATTCGGCAGTCTTGCCTTAACTGTTTATTATTAGTACTCTAA